TTTGAAATTCTGTATCATTTTTATTGTTCTTATGTTGTTTTGTTTATGCCTTTGTTTTTGATGTTTTCTCTTTAAAATTAAAGAAAAAATATACTAGCTAAGTGTATTGCTGATGTCTAAGTGTACTGTTGGTTTATTGAAGGAAACAGTTAATGCTTTTTTTTGTTTTTTAATTTTCTCCTGACAAATTTTGCATGCTTATATCTGGTAATTAGAACAACTAACTTGAAGATAACAATACACAAGAAAACAACCATTGCTGAAATCCTACCACCTTGTTTGATGAAGCTCTGTATTGTTTCAATTTTTTTATTATTTATTATTGTTTTTAATTGTTTGATCAATCCTGCATTCTTACATCTGGTAATCTGAGCAACTTCACTGAAGATAACAATATGTAATATAACAACCATTGTTTTTTCTCTTTTTTATTTTAAAGAGAGTAGCAAATGAAAAACAAACAAACAAAATAGAATGGTAGTAGCATCCCAGTATCACAAACATAAACAAATCAAAGCAAGAACATTCAAAGTGAAACAGAGTCTCAAGACAAAATAATATGAATCAACAGTGGTTGTTACATTACATATCACTATCCTCAATTACATTGTTCAGATTACCAGATGTAAGAATGAAAGATTGCTCAAACCATTAAAGAGAATAAGAAAATAATTCTTTGATAAAACATTAGAGATAATACAGAGTTTCCCTAGACCAGATGGTAGGAGTTCACCATTATAATTCTATTGCATATTGTTACCTTCAAGTCAGTTGCTCAGACCACCAGACACAAGCATGTAAAGTTGATCAGAACACAAAAAATTGTAACTGTTCATTTCAATACACCATCAGACATCAGCAATACAGTCATCACAGCTATTCATATATATATTTATATTTTGCATTCCTTATCTTCTTTCCTTCATCCCAGTCATTCCTTCCTTTGAGCAATTTCTTTCCCTTCCCTATCATCTATTGTACATTTTGAGTCTTACCTACTCTTTCAGGTTCCTACACCAAGGTGACAATATGATGTTTACACATCATCCAATTTATTTCACTTATGAGTATGGTCTCTAGTTGCATTCATTTGCCTACAAAAGTCTCAAGTCTATCTTTTTAATAGGTGAGTAATACCCCATTGTATAAAAATACCACAACTTTTTTATCCATTCTTCAGTAGATGGGCATTTGGGTTGTTTCCAAGATTTAGCTATAACAAATTTTCCTGCTATAAACATAGGTGCACATATATTGCTGTGGCATGATGTCTTTAATTCTTCTGGGAAAATACCCAGAAGGGGAATAGCTAGGTTAAATGGGACTTCCAATCCTAGTTTTGTGAGGAATCTCCAAACTGATTTCCACAGTGGTTTCACCAATCTACACTCCCACCAGCAGTGGTGTAGGGTTCCTTTCTCCCCACAGCCTTTCCAGTATTTGTTATTGGTTGATTTCTTGATGATAGCCATTTTTTCTGGGGTGAGATGGAATCTCAGTGTCATTTTAATTTGCATTTCTCAAATGACCAATGATGTTGAACATTTTTCCATGTATTTATTCACCATTAGTATCTCTTCATTAGAGAAGTGTGTATTCATCTCAGATGCCCATTTTTGGATTGAGTCTTTGAATTTGGGGGCCTGATTTTTTTTTAATCTTTATACGTCCTAGATAGAAGTCCTTTGTGGCTAAAATTTTTTTCCCAATTTGTGGGTTTTCTTTTTACTTTATTGGTGATTTCTTTAGGTGTGCAAAAACTTTTCAATAAGATGAGATCCTAGTAGCTGATTCTTTGAAGTATTTCCCGTGCAGTTTGTTTTTTGTTCATGAACTCTCTGCCTACCCCAATGTCGTCAAGATTTTTTACCTAATTTCTCTTTCAATAAATTGTTTCTGTTTTAATATTTAGATCTTTGATCCATTTTGACTTTAATTTAGTGCATGGTGAAAGACATGGGTCTAGTTTTGGTCTTCAGCATGTGGAAAGCCAGTTTTCCCAGCACCATTTATTAAAGAGGCTATCTTCCATCCATTGAATATGTTTGGCCCCTTTGTTGAAGATAAGGTGACTGAGTGTGTTTGTAATTGTATCTGTATCTTTTAATCTGTTCCATTGATCTTCAGGTCTGTTTTTGTGCCAGTACCATGCTGATTTTATCATAGTAGCTTTGTAATATAATTTTAAGTCAGGAATTGTGATGCCTCCTGTCTTTCCTTTATTTCCCAAGATTGCTTTTGCTATTCTAGGCCTCTTCTAGTTCCAGATGAACTTATAACAACCATTGTTAATTCCTATCATCTTGTTTTGAAATCCTGTATTATTTTTATTGTTTTTGTATTGTTTTGTTTTTGTCTTCATTGTTGTTGTTATTTTTATTCTCTTTCAAATAAGAAAAAGCGGGGGCTGGGGATTTAGCTCAGCGGAAAAGCGCCTGCCTGGCAAGCGCAAGGTCGTGAGTTCAGTTCCCGGTACCGGAGAAAAACCAAAAAAAAAAAAAAAAAAAAAAGAAAAAGCTTCGGTTGGAAGCTTTGAAAACTGTTCAAGTGGAAAGATCCATCATTATCACCATCACTACCATTATCAGTGGCCTCCTCACCACATTCATGGTCATCACCGCCATCACCATCATCACTGCCACCATTACTGTCATCATCTTTACTAGCAGTGGTGGTGAACCTATGGCATTCGTGCTGCAATGGGCTGTTTGCATCATTGAAAGCGCTAAAGGGTTCCCATCGCTGTTTAACACCAGCACCACTACTGCTGTTGAAGATACACCCCAGTAATGCTTTAAGTGCTTCTTCTCCTTTTTCTTGTCCTTAACTAAATTATTTTTGTCTTTTCATTCCCAAACCTGAGCAGGATCAGGAAACCTGGAGGCCTCCCTGAAGCAGGTGCTCTAATCCCATGGAGTGCAGTGAAGTCTGAGAACTGACATTTTTCTCAAGATCTTATATCCTTCTGGCACTGCTGGGTCAGTATCAGGATCAAATCATTAAGCAAAGGCACAGCCAGATAAACTCCATGATTTCTCACGCACACAAAACAACTGTGTTCCTAGTGATAGCAAACAGCACCACTACTTTCTGGGTGAGCATATTTGATCCCTCTTAAGTGAGGCAGTCACTCATTCTCTCCCTCACAAACTCAGTACCAAAGTTCCTTTTTCATAATTGGGGGAAGAACTATGAACGGCAAATGGAAAAGGAGGACTTGTATGGGCAAAGATCCATAGAGTGAACTCATTTGTTACACATTATTAAAACACGAGACTGGGAGATACAAAGGAGGAAAACAGCTCCAGAGCTGCAGTTAGGGCCCATTACAGATGCACAGAGCAGCTGGACAAGGACCCCACTGGTTACATAGGCAGCATTTGGAGGGTACAAAGTCAGACCAATTCAACAGCATTTGCCACAGTGCAACGGTGGTCCTGGGTTTGTGCTGGTGCAGTTTTGCCGCCATAAGGGTGTATTAGGTATCCTTCCAGGACTCAGGCGTGAAGGATGACATCTCACGTGTTCACTGTGGTGAAGGTACAGCAGAGGACTGACAGGAAGGGGGCGTGTACACTGGCCTGTTGTTCTGAATGGCACAGAAGGCTCGCTTCCCCAGAGCATCATGCATTAGTTGTAAGCCAGTGTAAAGAGTCAGAAACAGCTCTCTTTTACTATCTAAATGCCTGCCTCAGCTGCTATTAATAAGCAACTTAAGAAACTTTTGTTTAAAGAACCAAAGAAACACGTTAGTCACAAAAAGAAAAGAAAAAGATCTGTAAACCAGGTCCACTAGTCCATAGCTAACCCCAGGGGACAAATGTAGTTACTGCTGGAAGTGAGTGGGCCTGCAGCACCTCACATCCACCATTAGGAAGAGGAAATTGTCCTGGAGGGTCCCTGTAAACTTTACAGACCCATCAGCAAGGCAAGAACCCACTTCCGCCAGCCCCAGTGCACAAAACATTTGCAAACAGCACGACACAACATTAAAGTCCAGGCCCAGCAAGACTGAAGAAGTCAGGAAATTCTTGAATGCAGTGATAACCTCTGGATCCAGTTGCTGACCTGAACTCATTCATTTTCAAGGCACCAAGTCTGTACATATTAGTAATGTCTAAGAACAGCATTCCAAACATCATCTGTGCAACCCAATTCTAAATTAAAGACTTCTCTCAGCTCATTAAAATATAACAGTTATTTCTAAATAAAGAGTAGTATCCTGGTCTCCTCAGTTTAAGTGGCTATATATCCACTGACTGTGTAAAATATCAAAAGGTGTCTCTATGGTCCCACTTGTGTGAAACGTCCAGAACAGGCAGATCTGTACAGAAAATAGATCAGTGAATGTCTAGAGGCCGGGAGGAGAGGGAATGGGAGTGATGGGTTGGGGTACAGGGTTTCCTGTTGGAAAGAGTTTATAATTAGACGGTGTGATTGGCTGTACAACGTCATGAATAACCTCAATGCTACTAAGCTGTTACATGTTCAAATAGTTAAAATAGTGAACTTCCGTGTTATATGTATTTTGCCCAATGTTTTAAAAAATTAGGAGCTGGTGGTGTGTTCCACCTTGGAATCTCATGGCCACACCAGGTGCAGGGGTTCTTCCTACATTCTGGGACAGCACAGAGTACAGGCATAGACTGAGTAACCCCTTCAGCTTGTCCACTTCAGTCAGTGGATGTCAGAGCCTGCACTTCCCCACAGCTGCAGAACCGAAAGCAGCCATGATTTTATTGCCTTTCCAGAATATTCCATGACAGGAGCCTCTGCTTTATTCGTGTCACCTGACCCAGCAGGAAGCAAGACACAGGCAAACCCAGAATCACCAACAACTTGGGGTGCTTAGAGCCACAGCCCAACCTCCAACACGGGGAACATCCACGGCACAATGAGCAATCTCATGTTCTACAGGCGGCGCATGCAGCGTGCAGAAACAGCCGTGGCCCACAGTGGCTCACACACAGGCGCTGCAGGCTGTCTCAAGCTTTCTTTACCTGAAATGGCGTCTGGCTGTTGTAATTTTTCAATTCCTTATTTCCGCCCCGAAATAGCAGCACTCTTGCACAGCTGTCCTGCAAATGGAAATGAAGAAAACTGCTTGTAAAACAATGGCATGGACATTGTTCAAACAAGGCCCCTTGGGGAAATGCACCCTCACCAGAAGTCTCGGATGTGTGCCTGCAAAGTTAAAAGGGTGGTAAGTTTTGTCTAAGAGCAAATGGGCTCTCAGGTGCTGTCAGCTGAGGGTTAACTGCTGCAAATGCTTTGGACAGCAGCTTGGCAGAACCTAGAAAATATTTAAAATGCGTCCATTCCATGAACAAATGATTCCACTCTGGAAGATGGTACTCTACAGAAAGAGAGTCTTGTACATATCTGTAAAACATGTAACAAGGGAAATGCCATAAGCAAAATGCAAACAGAAAGGAAGAAAGAAAAAAATCAACAGATAGCATAAATGTACTACAACAATGGCCTGGGGGGAGCATTCTAGAAAATCCTTCGCCTAGGAAGCTGCAGGACAAACAAGGGAGACAGGTGTAAACTGACAAGCAACACTTCCAGATAGAAAAGGCATGTCTCAGACCAACAGGGTGGGCTTAACTTCCTTTGCATTTTAAAAGTTTCAAATCTGAATCCCTTCTCGGCCTTTTGGCTAAGATCAAGTGCAAATCTGAGTGGCATGAAAGCGGGGTACTCTCCAGGTGCCAGCAGGCACTGACTTCTGGGAACGAAAAGGATCAGGGTGACAATAGCAGGGGTCTTTCTAGATAAATGTACTTTTCTCATCCTTGTAAACGAGCAGGCAGGCAGTCATTTTTTATGAATGTTTATAGTGAAAATAAATCTAACCCTGTCCATTTATTTGCACACTGGTCTGGGTGAGAACCACTTGTTGACTCCTTTTAAGCTCCCAGCGAGGCAGGCAGAGGGGATCACTACAAATACAAAGGCAGACAGCAGTGCTGGCAGTGGTACTGGCTAGGGCCATGTGTCCATTAATGGGTACAGGTTCTGAGAAACACGTCCTCAAGTGAGTTCATCATCACTGGAACTTCACAGAGTGGACTTCCGCAAACCAAGTCGCCTACAGTGCCACCAGTGACATCATCTGATAGGAGCACCGCTGTATGTGTGGTTTGTCACCAACCAAAATTCGCTGTGTGGTGCGTGATTACATAACAGTCACTTTGCCTAATGAATGCAGCTGGCTATTTAGAATAAATTAGGGTTTAAGATGTGCATTAAATGATCAGTGTAGGCTGGGGTTCAGGCCCAGGATTCTGAGACCAGGGAGAGGGCAATCAGCCTACCCTAACCCAGGGCACTTTTTCTTATTTGCTGATTGCAGGACACAGTCCAACCCTGAGCTGGGCACATTTCCAAGGCTCCACCTTGACATAAGTCTAGGTGTGGAGGACAGGAAGGATTACCCAGACTCGATACCCCCATAATTGTTCAGTGAAGGAATAAATGAAATAACTAGCCAGAGACTCCTACTTGGTGTTAGCTGCGGGAAATGACAAGTCAGAGACGTGCAGCGCAGAAGGGCACCTGTCCTAGGGAATGGCAGGGCCCAGGGAGGGACACTGCATAGGCCCTCAGCCTGGCAGCAGAACAGATTTAACACAAACGCCCCAAATCCAGAGGCAGCAAGTAGACTGATTGCTGTCTAGGCCTGGGAGGGTCCATGCATCACAGTGGCCACTCACAGGTCCAGGCTTTCTTTTGGGTGATGAAAATGTTCTTATATCAGCTGTGGAGATAAGTGCAAAACTCTACAAGTAGGCCAAAACCCACAAGAGTGAAGTGAGTGGAGTGTGCACTGCATCTCAATAAAGATGCTATATATTTACAAAGAAGAAAGACAGTGAGCTACACTGGCAGGAGGTCTGTGTGCCCTGCTATGAAGGCCACATAAGCATAGGAAGTAGCTGTGAGCCAGGCAGGGTTGCCCCTCTTGGGACCTGGGACCAATGGTAAAGTCAGTGAGGAAACCACTTGCAGAAAGAGCCACCAGAAGCCCCAGGCAGAACCTTCTCTGTGAGCTCCCAGTGGTGGCACTGAAGGGAGGCCACTGCTACAGAACCAACCTGGGGCCCTGGCTGCACTCATGCCCGGTTCTATGCAGGACATTACCTACATGCCTGGCACATACCACCTCAAGTCCCCTCTGGGGCCATCTCTGGGCAGAGGGGCTGTGTCCTGGGATGTTCAGAATCCCCTTTGCTGGGCATGAGTTGCCTAGCCTGGCCTGGAGGGCACGCTGTGCCGCGAGGTGTTCTCCCCACTGCAGGAAGGCCAGAGTGGCTGGGGGCAGGGGCAAAGGCAGGGTGAATCCACCTCACACCACTCCCACAGTGCTCTGCACCAATTCCAGTGGGAAGGAAACCCACACAGGTTTCCCTGTCCCCTCCAGTGGTGGTTCTCATGGGGGTGCTTTTGTCCCTTAGTGGACTCCTGTCAGTGTCTGGAAATCTCTTTGCATCATCTTACGACAATCAGCAGTGCTACTGGTACTTGGTGGCCTAGGATCAGGATTCTGAGGCTCACTACAATTCCTAAGGTGCTGGAGTTATCCAGGGCCCAGGAGGATGGCTCCTGCCATGAGGCCTCTGATTGTTATAACAGAGTAGGCATCAAATACTTCCACAACCTCATAAGAACACCCACCCTGCTAGCCTTGGGCCCCAGCTGCTCAGACCCTAAGAGACACCAAGCCCATGCTAGCCCATTCGGGGTCTCTTCCCTCGATTGTGTGTGGGGTTCAGGGGGTGGTAGCTTCCAACCTGTGGCAGAGACGCCAGCTGGCAGTATCCACCAAGGCTCGCTGGGGGCCTTGGGGAGACCTCTACCCACGATGCTCAGGAGGACAGTGGCCTTCCGTCAGCCCCACAGAAGCAGGCACAGAGCTGACAAGTGCCCATGGGACACCAGCAAGGGCACAGAGGTACAAACAGCACCCCACCCAATCTTACTTTGGCTCTCTTTAGAATCAAAAAACTTGCTCCCAGGAGGCAGGATATATGCAAGTTTGTGTGCATGTGTGCAAGTGTGTGTAACTTCTAGATAAATTGGTCTGGCCTACTCACCTTTGATATTTAAAATTTCCTCTGATCCTTCATTATCCAGGGCAGAAAAACAAACACTAGGCTGTTTCACTCCCTCTGGAGCTCTTAGAAAGCCAGTGTGAGGCTGAGGGAGTCAGCAGATTAGACACAATTTGCTGCTTACAATCAAAGTCCTAATTAGTTGATTGCATAAGAGATGAGAGGATATTCTGATCACAGTATTTTTTATTAGAAATGTAGAACTGAGGTCTGAATAAAATTGATAAAGCATGCATGTCATTCTGTGCACCTGGATGCTTTTTGATTTTATAGAAAGCGTCTTGTTAAGGCCAGTCATCATCAGTAGCTGTATTGCTATCACCATGATCACTACCATCACAACTGTCACCATCACCACCACCACCATCACCATCATAACCATCATTACCATCACCATCATTACAATCATCACCACCATCACCATCACCACCATTACAACCGTCACCATCCTCACCACCACCATCCCCATGATCACCACCACCACCATTACAACTATCACCATTACTACCATCACAACCATCACCACCATCACCACCATTACAACATCACTACCATCACCACCATCATCACCATCACTACCATCACCACCATCATCACCATCACAACCATCACCACCATTACAACCATCACCATCACTACCATCACAAACATCACCATCACTACATCACAATCATCACCATCACCACCATCATCATCACAACCATCACCATCATCACCACCACCATCACCATTATCATCATCATCATTTTCACCATCATCAGCATCACCACTGCCTCCACCATCATCATCAATACCTTCACCACCACCACCATGACAGCCACTATTTTCTGAGCACATATTATGTACCAAGCACAGTGCATGTTGGCTTCCTATTTGTGGCCTCTTGGAAGCGCTGTGAGTTAGGGAAGTACCCAGTCATTGACAATAAGGAAACGTAGGACCCAAGATAGTGAGTTACCCGCAACAGCAAAGCTGGGTGACAGTGTAGATGCAGTGGCCTCAGACCACTCGGCCTCCTTACATCACTCAGACTGCTGCTTACCTTCATGAAGCTTGTCCTGATTCACTTTTGTCCCATCCCTGGGACAGTCCTCAGTGTGCCTCGTATAACCCGCAATTCTACTTAACAGGCCAGAGTGGTCTCTGTCATCTGTACCTGAGCCTGGTGCAATCACACACATAGCATGTGTGTAGGCAAGGGGACACGGACACAGGATGCTCAGCACAGTGGTGGCAATGGGGAACAGAACACTGCGTAAGTACAATGTGCAATGTGTGCCAGACAGGGGCCGGGATGCTCCCTCCTCTGGACAGTCTTTTACACACACCTGCACGATGCATGAAGCAGTCTCGCTTGGAAATGCCTTGAAGTGAGGTTTGGACCAACCTCTTTAACATATCAGAAGGACGCACCAGCAAGCTGGAGGAGGCTATGGGAGGAAAGGAAAGACCATCCTAGGACCCCAGGAAGGCATGAAACTCAGGAGGACAGGTCCTAGAATACTCACTTACATTCCAGATGGACATGGTGGCCATAGGGCTTACAAGCACAGAGCCTGTGAACCTAACCATAGCCCTTGGAGGTAAGTCAGGCAGTGAAAACCCCACAGTGTCCTCTCTGGTGTATCTCCACAAGATGCAGAACAGGGACATCCAGGCTGCAGCTAGGCCAGCAGCAGGTTGCTCATGATGATCCCATGTCTCTAGGGAAAGGACGGCTCTCTGCATACCTGCAAAGGCTCCCTAGCCTGTTGGATAGAAGGCACCCAACTCTGGGAAGGGGCAGCATGGCCTCCTATTCCAAGACTGGGCAAACTGCTACCCACAGGCCATACTGGCCCACTGGCTATTTTGCAAGTAAGGTTTGCCACACTTTTTCACTGACACACTGACTATGGCTACTTCTGCACTATGAACAGAGCTGAATAGTTCTGACATGGCCCATGTGGCCCTCAAAGCCAAAAGTGTTTACTAACTGATCCTTTATAGAAAATATGTAACTAATCCCTATTCAGAGGAAATGCAGTGAGGGTTTTCCTGAGAGCACTGGCCAGCTGGGGACCTTCCTACAGCCAGTGAATGAGGAGGGAGGACAGATGCGGGTATGCGGTGTGACATGGAGCAGAACCAGACCCACGAAGAACTGGGAGCACAAACTGTCAAAATGCTTTAACCTTTCCCAATGAACAAACCAAACTGCACTTTCAGGAAAGACCATCTTTTCCACAATTATATCAAGTGACAGAAAACATGATTTCCTACTTTTTTATGATGAAATATACTGGGAAAAATTAGGGAATGTTTTCCCATCTAAGGCAGTAATTAAGAAGCAGCTGTTGGTGCAGATGTTTTTGCAGCCACAGTTAAGCCTCATGATGGGTGTTTCTAAGGCAGCTGAGCAAGTCACTCTGTGCTCATAGTCATCCTGTGTCCACATACTCGGCGTGCCCAGAAACACCACCATATGCAAATCACATGGGTGCAAATCACATGCTCTCCACAGGAGGCAAATGTACTGCAAAGTATTGGGCAGAAATGCCCCTTCAACCCCATCCAGCCTTGCTGTTCTCCTGTGTCAGGCATGGGTAGACCATGAATGATGGTAGTTTATGCCCCCTAAGAAGCTGGGGTAAGAGGAGGAAATGTCACAGAGAACACAGGTGAGGCATGATGTGCTGATCCTGTGTGTTTCTCCCTGATTATGTTTCACAAAGGACTGCAGAGTAGTAAACCCATAAATACTATCAAGGAGTCATAAGGGAGAGCTTGACTGGATACAGGATGTCTGTCTTAGGTCTTGAAAGATGTGCAGGATATTTCCAAAGCAAAGAATCCGGGAAGGTTTATAGCTAGAAGCAAATGGGACTTTAGAGCGGCCAGGGCTGGGAAGAGACCTAGGTGTGGGCTAAGCTGGAGCTGTCACTCTGCGCCATAATGAGAAAGAGGATGGGATCAAGGATTTGGAATGGGAAGAGAACATTGGTGGCTGACAGAGGACGAACCCTGGGCTCTCTGATAGAGCCCTTCTGCTCCTCCAGGAGGAGCCCCGACCCCACCCCACTCTGCTGGGCCACTACATGTAGCATCGTCCCCTCACCACCCTCAGCAATGGGGCTTCCTTGAACTCAGAGAAAAAAAACAGGAAGGAGGAGCAGAGGAGACCTCTAGAGGTGTTGGCCTGGGTTGGCCTGACCTTGAGCACCAAAGACAAAGTTCTCTTGAAGCAATTCCTGCCATTCACCTGCATCCCTGAGCCTGGGTGTTTTCAGGTCTCCTGTGAGGTAGTAGCTTGGCTGTGTTCCCTCCCATCCCCTGTCCTTCCCAGTGCACCCACGGTGCAGGGTGCTTCGTTCCTACCACCAAGTGTTCCTTCTTTCAGAGAGCAGACAGACCCATGAGCCTTCAGGGTCTCCCAGACATGCTTGTCACCCACTGTCCTTGGCTCCCATGGTTGGTCTGACACAGGACAGTATGTGCGTCATCAGGTCTGCTCATATGAAGGCCCAGCTCCCAGACCACACCCAGGAGGGAGAGTGAGGTCTTAAACAGACACACACACATGCATGTTCACAGCAGCAGCATCCACAAGAGCCTAAAAAGAGGATGGCATCCAACTGTCCCTTCATGGAAGGGTGGTATCTTGGTGAATTCTCATGGCTGAGACACAACTCCTGACACCCACAACTTAAAGGAAAAAAGGTTTATTTCAGCTCACAGTTTGTAGAGGTACAGTCCATGGTCAGCTGGCTCCAAGGCAGGATGACATGGTAGAGGGGAGCTGCTCACAGCATGGTGGACAGGAAGCAGAGGGAGATCGAGAGAGGAGCCAGGGAAGGAGATGTACCCTTCTAGGTCACACCACAACCCACCTCTTCTGACGCAATCTCACCTTCTAATAGCAGGTCGGGTGTGAGTCCTCATAATCCAATCACCTTTCAAAAGCCCTGCCTATGATCACATAAGGATTTGAGGGGACATCTAGATATAAACCATAGTGAATAAACAAAACAGGGTCCACCTACACAGTGCAGCAGTATGCACCCTTAAGACAGGGCACTCTGACACACACTACAGCATACAGGACCTCGAGGAAAACTGCTGAGCAGAGCAAGCCAGGCACAGAGGGACACATATAGGATTCTACTTTTAGGAGGTCCCCAGAGGCCTCAAATCCACAGCAACAAGAAGTAGGATGGGGGTGCCAGGGCCTGGAGAAGGGATAAAGTCAGAGACAGAACTTTGATTTGGGGAGATGAGAAAGTCTGGAGATGGATGCAGGTGACAGTTAGACACACGTGAGCATACATAATGCCCCTGCACTGTGCACCTAAAATGATTTAAGTGTGACTTTTGGTTATGTATATTTCACCAAAACTGGAAATAAAGCACCTGGGGTCACATCACTGTGAGACTCGGGGATGGAGCAGAGCTGGCACCTCAGGTGTGGGAGGTTGTGAGAGCCCTGTTCTGGCATGCTTTCTGCAGGGCCAGCAGGCACCATGTCAAGCAGGCCCGCGTCTAGGCCCAGCCCTACAGTATCCAGCATGACCTGGGCCTCACTCTGCTTCTCCAGAGCTCTGTGTCCCCTTTGACACAGGGCACAGGTTCCACACAGGCAGCAGGGAGGGCCATCTGGGACAGCACGGCCAGGCCCTCCTTATCCTGGCACCCTAGGCTTTGGGTAGAGGATTGCATGTCACTGACCTGGTTGTAGAGGGCGCAGATGTGCAGGGCCGTGTTCCCCGAGGCATTCTGGGCGCCCATGTCTGCGCCATAGAAGAGTAGGTGCTCCAGGTGCTGCACGTGTCCATACCTGCAGGCCTGAGACACAGAGGGAGCAATGAGCAGGGTGACTTCCTCTGGTCTGGCTGTGCATCCATGAAAAATATCCTGCTATTCATGCACAACCACCCAAACCCACTTGCAGGCACAGGGCTTATGCAGACCACTGCCCACCCAGCAGGGCTGAGGCCCAGCCTTTGAGTACTCATGACCAATTCAGGGATGTCTGCTTGGTTTGTTAGACAGGGTTTCTAGGAAGGGTCTCCAGTCTTTCTTCTCTGCAAATCTAGGGGGCCACACAAACATAGATCATTCTTCTGACCTCAGTGCCCAGCTCCACAAAATGCAAATTGGGGCACGTAGCCTGCCTGGTGTCCCAAGCCCCAATGCAGTAGCCAGGGAACATACTTGCAGCTCTCATCCTGGGCTGTGTCCAGGGGAAGAGCTCCACTGTCCTTCTATGTGCAAGGAATGGTCCTGCGCTTGTTTCAAGTATAACAGCCTCTGGGTAGGTGGCAACAGCCCAGAGCAGGGCTGCCCCACAACGTGACCTGCCCCTTGCCAAGCCTGATTGATTGATGAACCATCAAGGGTCCAGAGTCCAATGGACTGGACTCAAACCACTGACCTTCCATTCATCAGGGCTCTGACCTCATCTGTAAACAGAAATGATACTCCCTTTGCAGGTCTGCATGAGAATTACATGGGGCAAGGCCCCCGAAGGCCTCAGATGACTGGGCACCTTATCAGGACCCAGAAAACAGTATGGCCCCTTCCCATTCCAGCTCATAGGAGTAGGGAGTCCCTGAGCCGGTGGCCAGGATAGTTCTATCCAAAACACACTGCCCCACACTCAGAACGGTGGCCCAGGAGAGGGAGAAACGCACATCCTGACCCAACCCTTCCCACCCCAGAAATCAGCAGGTTGGCCACACCAAGGGCAGCAGTTTCGGGTGGTGACAGCATCAGCCCCCAATAAGCGCAGACCATACAGTGACCATGTTTCTGATCACTGAGAAGCTAGCATCAACTTTACAAGGTCTACCAGAAAGAGCTACACCTCGACAGCTAATGGAAAAGGCAATAGGGAAGATATTGAGAGTATTCGTTGGATGAGCTTTAAAATAAAATTAAATTAAATAAGGAAGCCATTTACAGGGGCTGTGTCCTACTGTTGGTGCTGGTAGTTCTGCCCACCCCATAGCCCAGCTCTGCACAGAGTCTGCCTTCCTGGGAGGCTGCCACTGTACCCTCAGCAATTGGGCAGGGAGGGCGTAGCTCGCTCCTGCAGATGAGGCTGTCACTCTAACATCCCAGGCATGGTTCAGGGACCCAGATGGCCTGAAGCCCCAAGGCAGGAATATCTGTCAGAACTGCAGGACAATTATTGACCTTGGGGGTGCTGGGGCCATGTACACGAAGGGAAGAGTATGGAAGAGGAAAAGAGGTGAGGAGAAAGGGACAAGGAGATAGACACACAGGCTGAGCCAGGTGATACGCAGGGGTTCCTCTAGGCCACACTGTCCCTGAACTTGCTAGAGACACAAAGACTTGGTTGAATTCCCCACCCCAGCCCCACCCTTCAACCAGTTCAAGTTGGGAAATCTGCTCCTTAAATTGAAGAAACCATCTGCCTAATCGGCTCTCCCCGAAGGACTCCTAGGAGCAACACTGTTATAGCTTAATTTAATTGCTCTGTAGTCAATAAAGAAGAGAACTATGTTACCATAAACACACTGAGCAATTAATCCAGGCTCATCACTCCCCTTCCCCCAGTTAATTAGGACTTATGAGGTTGCAAGTTACATGGGTGGGATCAAGTCACCAATTCTTTACCCAGGGCCAGCACGCAGGGGTCAGTGCAAAGAGACAAGTTAGCAACAGTAACCTGAGCAGACAGTTTGGAACGAAAGTCCCCAAGGACATCTCTATTTTTTGCTTTTTTTTTTTACTTACTTGCCCTTTTGCAAGAAATAAAACCAGAAAATGCAAAAATTATCACAGTTATGAAAGAAGACTTCCAGAACCACTTTGGGAAGTGCAAGGTGTCTGAAGTGAAGGCGAAGGTTTTGAGGGGGATTAATGGTAATGTACTGTGTACTGTAATAATAAATTTTTAAAAATTTAAATATCTATAATTTTGAGCACCTCATATATTCCAAATGATCTTTATTCTACCAGTAACTGTGCTTTTAAAGGACCATCTTTGCTGTTCTTTTTCTTTTTCACCCCCAGCTGTTAAAGTGGGGAGACTGCATGCTGAAGGACAGGGAGCCAGCAGGGTGAGGGGACCAAGGCAAGCTGTGGCCACCAGGTCGGCAGACCGGCTGCAGCCAAAAGGGTGCATAAAGACAGGAAAGTGAGGGCTGCGCTTTTGCTGGGGAAGACCGAAGACAAAGGCAGCTCGGGGGACTATGGGGTAGATGGACCCATGGTTCTTGATAAAGAAACAGAACCGGAAGTTTATACAGCTGGTCATCAGCATCCTCAGGTTCCATGGCCATGGATTCAAGCAACCACAGATGGAAAATACTTGAAAAAATGCACTAAACACATATAGACATTTTCTTGTTCTTATTCCTTAAACAATATAGTGTAACAATTATTTCCATAGCATTTGCATTGTACTAGGTGTTATGCATAATCTACAGCTGATTTAAGTGATATAGGAGGATGTATGTAGGTTAGATGCAGATACTATGACATTTTGTGTCAGGGACTAGAGTATCATGGATTCTGGTGTGGGATCCAGGAGGGGATCCCCTGTGGATACCCAGGGACGACTGTAAAGACATATCTACACATCTAACTCTGGCTCCCAAGAGTGCGTAGAGCCAGTAGCAGCCCTGTGACAATCAGCACGCCTGCTACCAGATCTTGGTTGCGAAATATCCTTCCCCACTGAAAGGATCCAGGGTCCCCAGGGGAAGTGGCTGGTCTCAGGGCTGCGGTAGAAGAACAAGAGCAGCACGGACTACCTCCTTGCATGAGAAAGGAAGGAAGGAAGTGGAGGAGGAAGGGGTAGGCTTGTAAAGGATGGAGATGTGTAAAGGACAAGGGAGCAACCTGAGGGCCCCCCACTGGCCAAAACTGGGATAACAACCACAAAGTGTTACCTATCCAATAAGTAGAAAACCATGAGTGTACCTTGCTATAAACAGACAAGTAATAAAAGAAAGAAATAAAAAATAAAATATCATATAATAATGTAATAAAATAATATACTATAATAATAAAATCAAATTAAGACAGCTAACAGAGGCAGAAGCAGTGATGATATCAGAAAATCTCCACTTGGCAGTCGTGGCAACCATAATCAGTTCAGGCACTGAAGCTTGTACAAGCAGGAGGAAGCAAATGAGGAAACAGATTGTACCTAGGCTCAAACACACCCTCCCCCAATGAAGACTTTTTAGTTAAAACAGGGAAAAGAGCACGTTGGAAACTCAGCAGGCATCACTGGGCCAGGTGATCAGCAGGAGCATCTCTGGTAACGGGCAAGTGGCCATCAGCGACCATCCAACAGGAAGCAGCGCCAAGAGCACAGCGATTGGCTCCAGGATACTCCAGTCACAATGCACACCCTGGATCCCACCACAGGACACATCAGACACAGCAGGATTGAAGATGGTCTTCAGTGACTGCCCTGCAAGCACCACGAGGGCCCAGGCAGGAGGGTCAGGGAGGACAGGCGTGCTCCCAGGGTAAGGGTTGGGAGGACCCCTGGTGGATCCTGTGGCCATAAGGGACACCACAGGGATGCCGCAAGATGTGGCCTCCAAGGGAAGGGTGTGTGGCGTTCTCTGTGCCACTGTTGCAGATCCTCTCGAAGTTTGAAAATGGAAACAGTCGGTTTACACCTCAAAAAAGAATGTGATACCTACTTGACACAAAGATATGGAAAGCTACCAAAGGGTTAAAGCAAGAAATGTGTCCTCTCTGAGGCAGTTTCTGGCCAGTGGGGACAGAGGGTTGGCGGAGGTCCGACAGCACCCAGCATGTAAGGTGGAACGCTGCCTTCCACATCTGCATCCTTCCGTTTTCCAGGGTGCTTTGTGGATAATGCATGTACCGGGGGTCTATCCACACCGTCTAGGATCTGGGGGTGGGGGTGTGCATGTGTATGGAGATGCTCCCCGCAGGTTCTGGGTTCACCCCAGCTATGCCGGGAAGCCCACTCACCACTTGCCAACCACAGACTGGGTATAAATCAGGAAACAGGGCACTCCTTCCTTTAAGCACTTTGCTGCCACCTGCTGGGCGTGTGGGATAAATCTCCACACCTAAAATTACAGCAGCGGGACAGTGCCCTGGGGTTGTGCAACGTCCAACACGTACAATCAGAGCAGCACAGAGTTCACTGCACAGCTCCACAGGGGACAGCGAACCCTTGCGCACAAGACCTTCCCTACTTCCACCTTGCTCTGTGCCCCAGCGAACTAAATCCAAACACACAGGCATCTCTCCGGCAGCACAGGCCTCATTTACCACCTGTGGATATCAGGACCCAGGGGGACATGAGTTTTGTCACATCAGCCCTGACGGGGAAGGAAATGGATGCTGTCAGCAGAGACAGAACTCTCGTCCACACTCCTACAAACACCTCTAGGTTGGCTGAAGCCACCAGCTGCTCTACGGCCTTGTACCCCACGGTCTTCTTGCCAGCTCCAGGGCAGGAGGATGCTGAGGTGGGCAGAATGGAGAAGCCGAGCCAGTGCACGGGCTGTGGCACAAACCAGAGGGTGGATAGTTCTGTCCTGACCAACTTATGACCTAAAGTGTCCCCTCAACATTTATGCTGAAGTCCTAGCTTCAGGATGTGACTGCAGTGCCTGGAGACAGGGCCTTTTAAGAAGTGACTAAGAATAGGACATGGTGGCACATGCCTGTAACTTCAGCTACTCAGGAGGCTGAGGCAGGACGATCACAAGTTTCAGGCCAGGCTGTGCAAATTAGCAAGATCCTGTATCAAAATAAAATGAGGGCTGCAGATGTAGTTTTGTGTTGGTTTTCGGGTTGAATCCCATACCAGAAAAAAAAATTTAAGGTAAAATGAGGTCATCAGGGTGGAGCCTAATCCAATAGAACTCAAGAGATGGGGAAGCACAGGTCATACAGGTTCCTGGTAGTTTAAATCACTTTCTCAGACGGCGCTGAAAAGAAAGCGACCACTAGAGGGCAGTCCACACCGGCACTCTCACTGAGCTGAGAGCCTAACAGAAAGATGTAGGACACAAGGACCCCGGTTAGTGCCTCTGAGCTCTGAAGGACTACCACACACTCTGGGCTAAAGGGTTGGGTGAGAGGCAGACATGAGGGCAGAAATGCTCTGGATCCAAGCTCAGGACCTCAGACATGAAACTCTGCACTTGGGGTGGGGGTGGGGGGAGCAGAAATCACAGCCAAGAGCCAGGCTCATAGTGATACCAGGGTCCCCACCACCCAGAGCAGGGCCACTGTCACATGCTGTAGATGAACGAGACCGGACCTGTGAGTGTGATGTCACTGGTTGCCAAAGAAAGGCTGGCCTAGTTAAGGAAGGGGGCAGGAGGGCCAGTTTGGGGAGGGGACAGGGTCTCAAGGTGGCGACACCAAGAGATGCTCAGGCCTCGGGAAGGGGCGGGGCTGGATTCAGGTCCTTTCTTCTTTTCTGAGTTCTTGGTGCTCCTGCTCCTGGGGTCTCACAGATCCTGGAGGGAATCCCCCACTCTCCCCCTACCCCAGGGCCAGCTGATTCCTAGGGAGTAGGAGGCTGGCCTCTCCTATGGAAACACCCAGGGCAGAGCCTGCACCCCCTACACCCCCACCATCAGCTCCCACACTCCCACACCCCACTACCCTCATCACCTCAAGGCAGGAGTAAGGCAACCAGAGCTCTGAAGCCATTCTTGCCAGTGGTCCTAGGCCTGCTCTTGCTTGCAGCCTTGGCAGCCCGGAAAACCACGAGGAAAGCTCCTCCTGCCCACCTTCCTGCTCACTCCCTTCTGTGCTCTCTCTGGTTCCTGGCCACACCTGCCCCCAGGGAAGCCCTGCACATGCAGTGACCTCTCCTCCTGGGGCCTGTGAGCCACAAGCTGTCTCCAAAGGTGGGCACTGTCCTCACCACAAATGAACATCTGAACAGTAAGAAAACTTGCGTCTTAAGACTCGGGCTCAGGAGTGGATGCCCAGCATATGGGAGTGCGGTGTCCCTAACGAAGTCTTCCAGAACGTGCCTCTGCCCAAGTGGAGAGCTGAGGACTGTGGAATCTTCCTGGGCACTGTCTCTGTGCCTGGCCATGGTCCAGAGCATTCAGAGGACACAGGCACTGCATGGCGTATGACATGGCCCAGAGGCAGACACCTCCCTGCCCTGACTCAAAGCCGCCCTTAGCACCACTTTCACTATCTTGCACTTGTACCCTCGGATTCTAAAGGAAAACCAGGCAGGATGGGAAGGGGAAGATGTCACTTCACCGATCCACGTGTGGGAGCACAGGCCTGTAATCCCAGAGCTCAGGGCAACTGAGGCAGGAGGGTTCCAAGTTCAAGCCCAGTCTGTGCAACTAGCAACTCAGGGAGACCCTATCTCAAAATTTAAAAACAGAGCTGAGTATAAAGCTCAGTGTGAAGACCATGGGTTCAGTGCCCGATAATGAAATGAAAGAAAGAAGCAAGCAAGCAAGCAAGGGAGCGAGCTAGCTCACTGTTGCACTGATGTCCCAGCACTGCCCCCTCCAAGCAGGTACCTCAGAGCCTTAGGGCCTCAGAGCATGGAAAGGCCCTCGGGGCCTCACTCCAAGATGGTCAAGATTCTCTCTGGGAATCGCCTTCCACTGTCCAGTCTCTACCCCACTATGGAGACGACGGCCAGGTGCGGCTATGAACAGCCATGGGCACAGCAGCCACAGTCACCCCTCCCTGGCTCAGCGCACTGACGCCTGCTGGTCACTACATGAGCCCAGAAGCACCAGTACAGGCAAACATGAAATGCACACACCTGGTCCCCATGCATGCTCACGTAAGTGCAGATACGTGAGTACTGTGGGTGAGTGTGCGCCTGTACATGTAATTTCTGTACATCCATTTGCTTTGTGTCTGCTCCCCTCCCCCACCCCGGGAGAACACGAGGCACATGCATCCGGGCATTTGTGCTCCCAGGTGCTCCAGGGTGTCCGGGATGCTGAGCTTGCATTCGGCCGGTGACATCCACAGCTGCCTGGGCACCAGGTGGGAGGAGAGCTGCAGTGTGGCTGAGAGATCTGCACATGCTGCTGGTAGGAGGAGGGGCCTACATACGTCTCTTCACAGCCAGAGGCGGGGTGAAGAGACACCCCTGTGGGAGGTGGCCACTGTCTCTATCAATGCTGCAGATGACTCTGAAAGGCCAGGCCTGAGCACAGGGAACATGGGCAGAGCGCCAGGAGCAGCGGGGAGCTTTCGCAGGGAGGACACGACAGAGACGGAAAGAGGAGGACTGGGGAGGGACAGATCAGAGGGTAGAGCACAGGAGCAGCTCCCGGACCCAACGAGCACCCCAAGCCTTGGGCCCACGATCCTCCTCCACTTGAGCTATGCCTGTCAGGATTCTCAGGAAACAGAACCAGCAGGGGGTGTGCGTGTGTGAGCATGCACGCACGTGTGTGTCCGTGCGTGCATGCGTGTGTGTACATGCAGCCCTCTGATCATGCAGGGACAATACCTGGGCTGAAAGATGAGTTTGGACTGACTTACATATAGACTTTGTCCTTGCCATTATTTGTAAACAATACAGTATCACAACTATCTACCCAGTGCTGACACTGTGTTAAGTGTTACCAGTTACCCAGAGAGGATCTCAAGTACAAGGACAGGTGTGGGGAGGTGCTATGCAAACACTACGCCATGTTGAGGATTTGGGTATCAATGGGGACCCCAAAACCGGTCCCCAGTGGATGTAAAGATGACCTTGAAATGCATATGGGAGAGTGCAAACAGAGAGAGAATGTAAAAGAATTAAAAAATTTAAATTTCAAATAAAAATATTTAAAATAACTGGTGCATGCAACTATTTGCACTGCGAGTCTGGAGTCTGCAGGGTGGCTGAAGCCCCACTCAGGAGTCAGTGCTGCAGCTCAAGTCTGAAGGCAGCTGTTGGCAAAGCTGCTTCCTACTCAGGGGACGTCAGTCCTGCCTCTTCTGAGGTTCACCTGATTAGACAAGGCCCACCCCGTGATAGGGGGTCATCTGTTTCCCCTGCAGTTGGCTGATGCAGTGTTCCCAGTCTTGCAGAACACCTTCACAGCCATATTTACAATACTACTGAATCAAGTATCTGTACCTACCGAGTTGTCACATGAAATTATGTATCACAGGGGAAAACGTTTCCTTCTTTGTTATAAAGAAAAGTGCCAGAGTGGCAACAGATATCTTGCTGAGACATGGAAAGTCACTGCTGCAGGATACTCATTATACTCTTAGCTCTGCGGTCCCCGGCTTATTGTGGCACTGAGGGTACCCCGAGCACTTCAGAGCCCCTGTTCAGACCTGAGGGTCAGGGCCTCCTTCAAGCTGCGGGACACCGCGGTCCAGAGCTGACCCCACTGGAGAAAGGCCAGGTGTGGGCAGGGCCAGTGAGGCTGCCACTACCTACTTTGCTGCACCCACTCAGCCCTCAGCCCTGACCACATGCATGACGTGGCCTCCAGGACAGGGCAGGATGTGAGGTGATGGTGGCTTTGGGAAACCACAGGTAGCCCAAGGACAGTGACAGGCACTATTTTGAGGCCGAGTATGAGCACCTTCCAAAGCCTTCTCCCCCCACAGCCTCCTCTGTGCATATCAGCCTCTTGCCCTTGACCTCCTGGGCATCTCTCTCTGTCCTCTAGGGCCCTTTTCCACTCTGAGCAGAAGCTGTGACCTCCAGGCCAGGGCAGGACCTGCGGTGCCCGCACTGACTGTGGGTTCTGGTGGGGCCTCCATCCTCTGGCCCCGGTGGCAGCGTGCCTGCTAGTTCCCTCCTCCTCAGTGTGGCCTTCAGGACACAGCCCTGTCCAGGCTTTAGCCTGTGGGGCCCCAAGCTTGGTCCTGCCCACACCTGCTCCTGGCCACTGAACACTTCTTATGGTGCCACCAGGTGGCTTCTGCCCTTGAAGACCATAGGCGACATCCTGAATCCCGTACTGTAAGGTTGGGTCTGAACAACACAAGATTTGTTCTAAAGCTGGCCCTGTGCCCTGGTCACCAGTACATAGAAGGCTCCTGAGGCCACCTGCACCAGGGTCTGCAGGACAGTGGGGTCTGGAGAATCCATGGCTCACCCTAAGTGCAGAGGACTGAGCCATACAGAAAGGCATGCCCTCTTCCAACTTCTCTAGAGAAGCCAGGAACGTTTGTGTGAATGCGGACCATCGATCTAAATGTTTGAGGAACTCTGGGCAGTTGGACAAAATGACCGAAGGTGGGAACCGACCTGTGGTTGCCCTGGATGACTGAGGCCCCCAGGTGGGAGTGGGGCAGGGCTCAGGTGCTACTGGGAGGCGCAGACACACCTGGTGGATCTCATGCCAGCCGTTCTCGTCCTTGCAGCACACGGTGGCGTGCTCGTGTAGCAGCAGCTCGCAGCAGTAGGGGTCGCCCCCGACAATGGCTGTGTGATACAGCGGCGTGAGACCGTAGCTATCCTTGTAATCTGGGGAGGCACCAAGCTCTAACAGGGTCTGGGGGAAAAAAATCCAAAGTCCGGGTCACTGGTCTTGCAATGGTTTTTGCACAGGGGGCAACAATCAAAGCAGCATGCACCCCTTGTCCTGCAGGCCAGGACGGCCCTGGGGTCCCATGGCTTTCCCCCTAACTCAGAGTTAAGCAGGTCCTAAGTGTAGGCAGCGACATTTCTAGGCCTGAGGTAGCAGGCGCTGGGTGCTCAGGCATGCAGGACCAGCTCATGTGGGAGACGGAGAGAGAGGCGTGGGGCTGCAGCCCCGTGTCCTGGCGGGCAATGATGGAGAACGACCAAGGGAAGGCAGCTCTTGCAGGAGCGGGAGGTTGTACCATTTAACAGAACACACAGGACAGCATTGTACACTGAGGGCGCAAACTATGGAGCAGCATCGGGAATGCACGTGACTTCTGCAGAAGCCAGTGGAAGGACACAGCTGAGAGCTGGGGGAGAAATCCCATGTTCAGGTGAGCCTGCAGCAGTGACCCCATCCTCCCTCACCTCCCTCAGAGCTCGGGTGGAGAATGGGCCTGGGAACCCCTGTGCTCCATGGGTGCTTCTCAAACACAGCTGGGGCAGGTGGAGGAGCAGGAGATCACCGAGGGAGCAAGACGCTGCGGTGCACACAGACTTTCTGGGTGGCAAGGTGGGCACAGGGACCTCTGCTGGTCTTGCAGCCTGCTCCAGGAGCAGGGGTGGGTTTCAGCAACAGCCTTAGGGAGTCACAGCATGAACCCTTTATTGAAGCAGAAGGAGAAGATGGCTTTGTGGACAGTAAATTCTAGAAGCAGCAATGCCAAGGAGACAGGGCAGAAAACCCTCCAAGTTCCAGTGGGGACAGCTGCAAGGGACCAAGGAGGGCAGTGTCTCTGATACAGGACAGGCTTGGACGCACCTTCAGGGCAAGCTGGTTTCTGGTTCGAGCGGCTTTGTGCAAGGCGGTCATCCCGTCCTTGGCGCGGAAGTCCAGGTGAGCCCCGCCATTTCGGAGGGCTTTGATGATCTCCATGGAGTCGTCCAGCTGGGCAGCCAGGGTCAGGGGAGTCTCTGAGGGTCCCAAACACACACATGTTAGCAACAACACTTGGGGCTGCTGTGAAGGCTGAGCTCACTGAGCCATGTTCAAAGGCTAAAAACTGAACTTAAAAAATGGACCCACAGGGTACAAATGCCCCCACCCAGCCATAGAGCCCAGCAGGCCATGCAGTTAGGATGGCTCCATCAAAAAGGGAAAGAAGCCAGAAGGGTGAGGTCCTCCTGTGTGGGCACAAAGGTCAGGAGGGCCTGTACAGATGAACCTAGCACTCTCTGTGGCTGCCTGTGACGGGGGCATCAGTATTTGCTATGGTGCATCTTTCTACTTGATCCTAATCTTCCTCATATCCCTACCTGCACTGCTGAGCAAGGTGAGGCTGTGGTTGAGAGGCACTTGCATTACAGAAGTATACAGAACAACAGAATAACACAGCACACACTCTTAACCATGCACGCCAGCAATCATGTTTCCCCAAATGAGTCAAAAACATTATGTCTGCACAGGAATCTGGATGTTAATGTTTAGAGCAGCTTTATTCCCAATTTCCTTGAATTGCATAGATCCCACTGTCCTGCTGTGGGTGAACAAAATGTGATACATGCAGATAATGGAATATTACTTAGTCCTGAAAATGAACTATCAAGCCATGAGAAGATATGGAGGAACCATGAATGCATATTACTAAGCAAAAGAAGCCAATGTGAAAAGGTTCTATATGTGTAGTTCCAACGCTATGCCATTCTAGAAAAGGTAAACCATGGAGATAGTAAGATCAGTGGTTGCCAGAGGCTGGGGAACGGAGGAACACACAGGTAGGGCACAAAGGATGTTTAGAGTAGTGATAATATCCTGCATGATGCTGATGATGGGTACAGGACGTAAGGCTTCTCTGTCCAAACCCACAGGGTGTACACATACCACCAAGAGTAAGCTGTGTTCAAGCCATGGACTCCAGCTATTTATTGTAACAGAGGTACCGCACCACTGCCACGTGTTAATAACAGGGCAGAGAGAGGCAGAACACACAGGAACTCTTTATTCCTTTAGCTTGATTTTCTGTAAACCTAAACCTGGCCTTGTGTCCAACCCTAACACCCACCTTCCACCCCCGGGGCCTGGCTTGGGGCTCACCTCCCTGCTACCCTGCTTCCTGCATCCCTATCTGTATTGTGACTTGCTCTATTATACACACCTCTATGACACACCTCTTCTCTCTGCCAGAACACAGCCAGGTATCAATAAGAGCAATCCCTACCTAACTGGATTCTGTATGTGAGCTCTCACTTAAAACCCAGTCTCTGTTTATTAGGAGCCAGCACCCGACAAACCAAATACATCCACACATCTGTCGTGGCAGAGGGAGTTATTTGCCTGTGGTCCTCAGCCTGCCTTCATCTTCACTGGGTAATCTGTGCACCTCTCACCCTCTGCAGGCTGATGTTTATGAGGTCCCAGGATGCTGCTCCCTAGAGTCACCCCCATTCTCCCAAGTATTATTATTCCTGGGGAATTACAGGCAGTGATTCATTGGGGGTTGTGGGGACACTGTTAGATACCATCTATCACTACATGCATCAAACAAGCCCCTTCCGCTCCCAAGCCAAGGAGGTGCTCAGCATACTCGGAACCAGAAGGTCCACAAAACCTTCTAATTGGACCATGTGGGAGCCCAGAAGAGGCTCCCCCAGGAGCCCGCCACAGCGACGTGGGCAGAAGCAGCTCCTCCAGCACAGACGATGATCAGCTTAACTCGGAGGCAGCCGCAGCCTGACAGGTGACGGACGCAGCACTGCCTGGAAGTCATTTGGTAACTGGATCTTACAAATGACTCCACACACATCACGGGGTCCTGCAAAACTTGGCCTAATAAAGGAATATTCCAGCTTCTTCTCATCAAGATGTTTAAAGCACCAGAAAGCACTTCTGGCTTTATTACCAAGCCTTCCTTTGTTGCACACGGGGCTTCTCAAGTTTGGAAGTCACAGGGTAAAATAAAAATGCTAGACAATATCCCATTCAAACTGTCACTTTTATTTCCTTGCCGGGGTTTGGTCTGATTCCCCAGATTCCAACCTAAGCAAAAGCTGAGCCTGGGTCCCCAGTGGGAGAACTAACTCTTTTATTTTTCTATTCTATTTTCATCATTGCTACTTAATGAAATTTACATTCTCAACAGGTAGCAGACAGCTGCTTGTGATAACACAGGCTGTTTGATTTTAACTGACAGGTCGTTTCACTGTGATTTAATTATCTCTCAAATGGCACTCAATCCAGGAGGTTCTGCTTCCCCTGACTGTGGCCCTAGTACGGCCCCGAGTCAGGGACACTGGACAGGTCTGGGTGATGTATTGTTTCTTGGTTTTAAGAAGGAAGCTGCCTTTGACTCTGTGCCTGGAAATGAAGCCTGCTTTGCAGCCAGATTCTGCTGCTCAGTGGGTAGGAAATCACCAAACCCAGCGTGGAGCCCCACAGTACAGGATGGAGATATGCGACGGCTGCCGGATCCCAGCAGGAGGAAGTGCCTGCCTTGAAGGAAAGGGCAAGCGAGGGCACTCTTCCCACCCACCGGCCCTGCCTGGTAGTGCTGATATAGCTGGTCCCAGACCAGAGCCATCCTTGTGACCCTGTCCGGGGCCAGGGTCACCTCCAGCCAGCATGGCAGGCAGAAGGCAGACCCAGGGTGAAAACTCACACTTAAGAGTCTGCAGAGCCCAGGCTAGGTCTCCTCCCTTGCTGGCTGCTTGCGACTGTCTCAGATTGTGCTGCTGCAACAAGATCCGGGGGCTAGGAGGCTCCCAAGCTGCAGATATACACTGCCTGCAGCTCTGAAGCCTGGATTCCAAGCTCACCATGCCGGCAGAGTCCATCTCTGGTGAGGCCCTGCTTCCTGGATCAGAGACAGCAACTTCTTGCTGCATGCTCACATAGTAGAAGGGGCAGGGGATCTCTCTGGTCTCTTGCATAAGGGTTCTGACTGCATTCATACAGACTCTGCCCCTGTCACCTCCTGGAGGGCCCTCTGCTAACACCACCACCTAGGGGTAGGTTTCAGTGCAGGGATTTGGGAGAACCGGCATTCAGACCACCGAGGTGCCACCTCACACCACAGCTTCAGGCCTCTCCAAGAACAAGGTGCCCACTGGGGACCCACTTCACTGGAATGTAGCAGGATTACAGAGGAGAGGCTTGTACAGCTCCAGGTACATCATGCTGGCAGGGTCATCTGTCCCTTAAATGCAGCTGTGTTAAGTCCCTTTATCATCTCAGCATGGACAACAGTACTTGCTTCCCTGGGACTGAGCAGCTCCAGGAGACGTGAGAAGCCTGTGAGATACAAGATAGCTTGCTCATGGCCTGGAGGGAGACCGTCAAAGTGACCTGCATCTCTTTTCCTCTGCATCCAAAACTAGCAGAACACAGCATCTGCTGAGTTCCTGCAGCTGATGATGACAGGGGCACTCTGGAAACCTTGCAAGGGTGACCAGTGCTGATACACTTAATGCTATCCAATGCTCCTGTGTCTTGGACTATGGGGACATCATCTGACTCAGGAGCTGAGAAGCCAGAACTCAGAGTGGTCCCTGACCCTGGTCTTCCTGGAGCCAGCTGTGGAAAAGCTGGGACTGAAGCAGGTCTCCCTGGGCTCTCTGAACCTGGGTGCCAAGCTGGCTTGTAGGGCTCAGCATGATGGTTCCACACCACTGTAGCCCCAAGTCTCCAGCAGTATTGTCCTCCCTACATGACAGGGCCGTGTGTGTGTGTGTGTGTGTGTGTGTGTGTGTGTGTGTGTTTTGAGTGCGAGGACACAGGGGTCCTGATATCTCATTTTGCCCAAAGAAACGTGAAGATGAGCATTCGTGACACCACCTGGCTCTGGGCTCTCAGTTAAGCCAGTGCCAGATGTGTATTCTCCCCGTCTCACCATGTGGAGCCGGGGTGCTGTGTGCGCCATCTTGGAATTTCCCACAATTCTGGGAATTGCCCATAGTGTCTGTGTATTTCCAAGACAGTCAGTCATCCTTCACTTACTTCCCTTGTTCACTCAGCACCTTTGGTCCCATTTCTCTGCCCCATTAGAACCAGTAGCTTCTCTGGCTTCAGGGAAGTAAGTGAAAATCCCTACGACACTAATAGCATTGCAGTGGGGTGGGAGGATGGCAGGGAAGGCAGCACTGCCTGCCCCAGAGTTGCATCTAGACACACATCTTCAGAACTTTCTACCTTCACTCTTCCCTTCACCAGGCTCCAAATACTTAATTTTGTCTTAAAATCTCCACTATGGTTCATCTCTCATAATTATGTCCCTATAAAAAAAAACCTGCTCACAAATGTCTACAGCAGGTGTACTTGTAATCACCAAAACATGAAGCAACCTAGTATCTTTAGCAGGTAAAAAGATAAAGAAGGAAGTGCCTGCCTTGAAGGAAAGGGCAAGTAGCTGGAACCAGCTGGAACCAGCTGCACTAAAGAACTGAATGATGGTGCCACGAAAAGACGTGGAGGAAAACTCAGTGCATATCACTAAGCAAAAGAGGTCATTCTGAAGAGGCTTCATACCATGTGACTCCAACTCTGACTTCTGGAAGAGGCAAAGCTACGGGGACAGTAGTGACATCAGTGGTTGCCAGGGACTGGCAGAGAAGGGATGAGCAGGTGGGGCACATAGGATGTTTAGGGTAGGGGAACTGTGGTGGTGGATACATGAACTACAGAGTTGTACAGAACCAAAGAATGTGTAACTCCAAGAGTGAGCCCTAAACGATGAACTTTAGTTGATAAGAATATACCATGTTGGCTCATCAGTGATAACAAATGTACGATGTTAAGCAAGACATCAGCGATGAGGGAGCGAAAGGCATTGGTTCGTGTGGGAACTCTATGCTCTGTGTCCGATTTTCTGTACTCCAGAGCCGTTCTAAGGAAGAAAGTCTACTAACTTCAAAGAACAAGTAGTGAGTGGCGGCTGAGGGGAGTGGAAAGTTCTGCTTTGCTGAGGAATACTAAATATCACAAGGAGAAAATCGATTTGGAGAAATAACCAGTTGGCAGTCACAATGTGAGGGCTGATGCAGTGTTTTTCGCTTGAAGCTGGAAATAATGATTTCTATCAAAACCAAAACAAAAACAAAACAAGCCCCTAAACCACTCTGTTGGATCACTCTTAACTTCCCAGGGGAAGCAGAGAAAGGCGTCATAGAAAAGGGCAGCCCTGCTTCCCACGTTGGGCGTGCTGTGCTACAGCCCCAGCCCTGACGGGGCCCTGTCTCTGCCCTTGGTCCTGCTGAGTGTGGCCTTTGCTGGAGCCTCTGGGGCACTTGTCCTACATTATACTCTCTGCCAGGAGCCACTTAGCAGAGGTGCCTCCAAAAAACTGGCTCTGTTTCTTCCCTGAGCTTGTTACCATCAACCAACCCAGACTATCGTCACAGGAATAGAGCTGCCCTTGGGTATCCATTCTAGGACCCAAAGGCACCAAAATGTACATCTGCTTATATTCCTCATATGAAACAGTATGCTATTTGTACCTAAACTACATATCTCCTTCCATATGTTTACCTGTAATACAAGGTGAATGCTATGCAAAGTTATTTTACTGTATCTTACATGTTCAGGACAGACACCATCTCTTTTGCTGAATATTTTCATTCCCAGGCAGTTGAATCCCGGGACTTGGAACCTTGGCTGTGGAAGGAGACTGTGTCTTGGCTAATACAGGTGATCACAGCTGCCTCCACTGCTTATAGTCCAGGGTGTGGCTGTTCCATGTAGTGGGGAGCAGGGAAGCTGAGAAGGACCTGTTTCTTAGTTACACTGCTCTGTACCTGCTCACAGCAGTCCAGGGCTTAATCTTCCTATGGACTCGACCCATGATTACCACAACTGCAGCTTTACCTCCAGGCAGGGCTACAAGAGGTAATCACATGTTTGCCTCTTTCAGCAGTTCAGGTCTATGTCACTGTGTTTTTAGAAGCAATGCTTGGGTCTGCTTTGGAATACCAGTCATTCCTAAACTCTTAAAACCCAGCAACACCAGCACTGGGGAAGGGAGCGTGGGGAGACCGGGCTTGTGCTGGATGGAGCTGCGTAGAGGAGGTCATGCAGAGAAGAACAGAGGATCCCAGAGTGGAGCCCTGACCTCCTGGGCTGCTGACCAGGCAAGGGAGAGAGGTAGCCCACACTGCCCAGGTTCCAAGGAGTCATCTGGAAACAGCGAAGACAGACACAGGAGCAGCTCACTCCAGGGAGTATGAGTTGAAACCCATGGCTCATCCCGAGGAGAAAATCCAGGCTGGGGGCTCTTGACATCAGGCCTGACTGAAGGTCACCTGTGGATATACCTGGAGGCTCAAGTTCATGCTCAGGAATTCACGGGTCTCTCTACTTATACAGCCTGAGTGCTCAGGGACAGGATGGGCCCTGCCCTTTTAGAGAGGTCCTAGACCCAAGGCTGATGCAGGAGAGAAGCCTCCACATTAGTGTGGCGGGGGAAGCATGGTCCGACACGGTGGGCACTCAGTGCCTCCTGCCTCTCCCTGCATAGACACCCTGGCTCCCTCCATCCCGATGTCCACCCTGGGCCTGGGGCCTGCCCAGACTCAGACTCTCCCGCCCAGTCCTCTCCCCAGGATGTCCACATGCAGTTCTGCCTCCTAATATCTTGGATGTTGCAGCCGCCATCAGAAAGGAGCTTGTCCCTGCTCAGATGCTGCTCACAATAAACTCAAGAGACCCAGGAACAAAGAGGCCACCATATCCCCAAGCAGTCCATAGAAAGGGATATGCCCAGCACCTAGCAGCGGGCTGATGGATTAGCCGGGCCTCCCAGAGATGACTAGCAAGTACCACAGATACTCCATTCCTCGTGTGCTTAGTGATTTAGAGGTGTGACCTGAAATCATGCAGGAGCCCACAGCAGGCCTACTGCATCACAGGAAGACAGAGAGACAGACAGAGACAGACAGACAGACAGACAGAGATAGAGAAAGAGAGAGAAAAATGAGACAGAGAGACAGAGAAAGAGAGACAGACAGACAGACAGGGACAGAGAGAGAGAGACAGAGACAGAGAGACTTCCACAGCTGAGTCCAAGAGGAATACTGTTTTGCTCAGAAGAACCCACCCAACTGGGTGGACTCCTGAGCTTGTTACATAACCTCTCACCTGGGCCATCCTCAGCTCCTCACAGCCACTGACCTCTGCTGGCCAAGTTCAGCAGGAGTCCACTGTCATGGGGAGCTCACCTTGGGTGGCTGTGTCCCACCAGACTACAGTATATTGGGAGGCAACTTTGGTTGTCCCAACTGGGGGCTGCTGCTCGTATCCAGGAGGTTGAAACTAAAGATGCTGGTAAGCACCCCACAATGTCACTATCCCAAAGAACAGTCCAGACAGGGCCCAAAGTGCTGAGGCTGGAAAACTTCACCACGGTGGAACCACCAGGGCATGAACGAATTCTCTGTGGAGTACTTGAGGCTCTATGCCCAAGGAACTCAGGTCCACAAAGGAGGGAGAAAAACACCGTGTACTAATTGATACAACCCCACCACAGCAGGGCTCTGCCAGGCACTGGAGACTGGCATGCATTTGTACATGTGCTCACCAGTCTTACAGCATGCCAGGCCTCATGTCGGAGGCAGGGTGGCCTGGTGAGCTGCACAGGCCAGGATGGCCTGGGAGTCACAGGAGTGAGGACACTCCCAAGGTCCAGGACAAAGCAGGGATGCTGTAAGTTTCTCACTGTTTATGTGTGACTCAACCTCAGGATGAATTTCTACAGCTACTGAGGCCCAGCCAAGACCTCTCTGACAAGGACCCACCTCCAGTCTCCAGGTCATGGAAATTGGGATCCAGGCCTCGGTCCAGCAGCTTGACCAGCTTCTCCACAGACCGATGCTGAGTATGATCCATGAACTTCTTCAGATTGGTCTAGAGAGAAAAGTAATAGAACAGAAAGGTCTTTATAAGAATTGTTCCCATAGGCCAAGGGCAATTTCTCACTTGGGGTGTGCTGGCTTCATTCACATTGAGCCACTGTGACCCCAGCCTTGCTTAGCAGCAGCGGCTTAAGGTCAGCACTTGGCTAAAGCTATGGGACCTTCCTATATGAAGGTTTCAGAAGTTCCTCACTGTTGACCACCTTTGGGCCACAGTTTGCTGTTTGTGTCCCTCCAAAATTGACATGTTGAACCAAATTCCCAATGGAGGTAGGGTTTATGGGAGGTAAATAGATCATGAGGGTGGAGCCCTAACAAACGGAGTTTGTGCCCTTATAAAAGAGACTCCAGAGAGCTGTCAGCCCTTCCACCATGTGAGGACGATGAGAAGATGCCATACATAAGCCAAGAGGAGGGCCTTCCCAGACACCAAATCTGCCACACTCTGACCTTGCATGCCCTGCCCTCTAGAACCACGAGCAGCAGATGCCTGTGGTTTGTGACCTACCCAAAGTTTTCCATTACATAAGCAGGAACAGATTACACTTCACTGAGAGCTACAGGACGTTCCTTCACTGTCGTGGGTCACTGGGACTGGAACTGCTGTGAAAATTTGTAGCTCCTAGGACCCACCCAGGTTCTGTCCCTGGGACCCCTAAGGATCTGATCTCTAAAGAGGCCGCCATGCTGCAGACCAAATGAGGCCATGATTCACTCAGCTTTGCCACTTTTCTGGTTACCCCAGACCACAAGGGATCCCTGGCTGCTGGGCTCAGGATGAAGGCACATTCCTGCCACATGCGATCTCCCTGGTCAGTTGCTTGACTTTGGCAGGGAGAACCTTCCCTAAGTGCCGCCTGCCGCATCAGTTAGGAGGGGGCTGGTTCCTGCTAGTGAGCAGGCCCTGTGCTGCTGGATCCTGACCGCAAGATGCCACGACCCTCTGGTGAGTCCAGTACTTCTCACAGGCTCAGTCCATGCCCTTCTCTGTACCTCTCCGAAAACACAGATGGGAACAACAGTGGCTCCCAACAGAGACCCCCTGCCTCCTGCTGTATTTCTATCTCAATGTCTTCTGCACAGTTTAGGACCAGAACAAATGCCCCCAAACACAGGAAACCCAGGGTGCCACTTAAAACCTTCGTGCTGATTTAATGATGTTCTTTAAATTCACAAACACAGTTTTATCTATGCATCAAAGGGCAATTTAAAAAATCTCCGAAGCACTGAGATAGTAGGATTCCAGGGATGAGGCAGGGGACAGAAGAGCCTGGAGCATCTTGTGCCGGGAAGAGGTCACCAGGGCACCAAGGAGCATGAGCACTAGACAGGGGGTAGAAAGGCGGTTGCAAATTAAGCACAAAAGCAAAAAATAACATATTAGACTCCACTGAACACAGTAAAAATCCTTGTGTCCTGACCTGGGTGCGGTGGTACACACCTGGCTTCCCAGAACTCTAGGAAGCTGAGGCAGGAGGATCACAGGTTTGAGCCTAGCCTGGGCAGCTTAGCGATACAGTAAGAACCTATCTCAAAATAAAATTTAAAAAAAAAAAAACCTGAGAATGTAGCTCAGTGTGAATGGCTTGGGTTCAAATCCCAGTATGAGGGGAAGCCTCTCTGGAGTAGGCTATCCCTGACACCAGCACCCTACCTGCCCAGCTGGGTGGCACACTGGGCACAAAGGTCATAGTCCGTTCAGCTGGGGACTGAGCTCCCACAGCAACACAGCACCTTCCACCCACTACTCACCTATACATTTCCCCTAGTGTCGTTCACACTAACACACCTTCATAAGGTTTGTTCTGATGTGACAATCATGGAAATCTATCCTAGTATCCTTGTGCTCACATATGCCCCTTCCCCTCCATCACTCCATGTGTCCAAAGCTCACCTTCAGACACCGTTTCTGAACCTCCCTGGAGCACCCAGGAGGATTAGCAACCCTTGCCCCAGTCCCAAGTGGCTTTGCTGCCTCCTGGATGGCTGGTTCTCTGGTAGCCCGGATGCATCATGAGGCCCATCCATCCGTCCACTCAACCTGCCCCACACAGACCTAGGTACGCAGTAGGTGCTCCAGGACGAAGAGACTCCAAAGATACTACCACAGGGGGAAAAAAAAAATTGGCAAGAATGTGATCGTGGCTATTCCCTGCATACCTTTGTGTGGAGCTTGGCCAGCTGCTTCTCATCCAGGTTGGACTGTTTGTACACCCGCTTCTTATACCGAAACTGGCACAGAAATAGAAAAGCAAAGACAAACAGGTAAGCACCTCACGTGGTCTTCCCCTGGGCTGCTTTTCCAAAGAAGGGATCTCGGTGGCAAACCCGAGTGTTAGATAAATGACTCGTGTTGTACTGCAGAGCACGCGGCATCCTGGAAAGCGGCTCTCTCAGCTAATGTGGCAAGTCAGTCCCTGCGGTGGGAGCCCACCTTCCCTACATGCAGCACGCTCAGCAGGTGAGCACACAGCCCCAGACACTGTGGCTTTCATGCCTTCTGCCTTTGTCGGAACCTGCATGAGCAGCCCGCTCCTGGTGCCCCCACACAGCCCTCTGCCTAGGACTTTGGGGCCCCTCCTCATTCCCTCAAAACAGCAGCACCTCCTCTGAACTGGAAATCATGCTAGAGTCGAAGGGCCTGCTTACTCGGATGTGGTCGCAGCACCTAGGAAGGCGATTTGTCACTGTCTGCTTCACAACCCTCCAATACTGTGGCCCCTGGGCGCCTCCCTGTCCGGGCCACCCGGGGTCCTTCTGCAGCTGAGGGTGCTGGGGACACTGCAGAAGTTTGGGCAGGATGCTGAGAACGTGGGGGCCACTGAGCTCGGTGTAGAAAATCTGGTCCAGCCCTGTGCTGCCCTATCCACTCAATAACTTTGGGCTAGACACTCTCATCTCTGCCTCAGTTTCCTTATCTGTTCTAAGGGGACACCAACACCACCTCCCAGGGTGGCCCAAGGGGGGAATGTGGGCCTCTCAGCACAGAGCCGGCAGCACACACAGACTACTTCATCCCTCCTTCCCCATTTCCCTGGAGACTGTCACACCCAAGGAGCTCACAGGCTCAGGGTGAGCAGAGATGCGCATAGGACAGAGGAAGGTGCAAGCCAGTGAGTGGCAAGCCAGTCCTGAGTGGAGTCTGAGCCCACATGGCACCACCCCCCATTCCACAAAAGCAGCAACCCAACAGACAAAAATGCTTGTTCACCACAGACTACAGCTCACTTCTTAAATGGCAAAATAAGCCAGCAGTGGAATGAGAAAGCTCCCCATAGCCCAGGCTGCCCAGAGCTGCTGGAGAAAGGGGCCGGACCTGAGCACACCTGTGGAGCTCCCAAAATGGAGTTGGGGGGCTCCAGACCCTTACAGGGTTCCCAGCCCTTCCTCTAGATTCCATCAGGGCAGCCATGTCACAGGAGTCCCATGTCCTGGAACCACTAAACAACATTCCCCTCATTTGGGTCTTCATTAGACACGCCTCTGGCCCACATTTCTGAAGCCACTGAGAAGGACACAGGGTGAACAGAGGCTCACTGTCCCACAGCTAACAGGAAAGCGGAGAGCAAGTCTTCTAGCTACAAAACAATATAGTGGAGCTGGTTACATGCCTCAGCAAGAGGGCAGGATAGCTCCTAGGTCCACAGACGCTCACACCCTGTGCTTCAGAGGGACACAGCTCAGAGCACAGATCCTTTTCCCTCCGTGTTTCCAGCAAGGAGCTGGACCAAGCCTGTCCCTGTCTCAGCTCTGCTGGTATGGTGCCCAGGGAGAATAAACCTAAGTATTAAGTACAATTTCACAATGAGAGCCAGTTAGGGCAGCAGCCACAGCACCCACCTGGAGCCTCCCTCAGGCAGCCAGGCTCACCTAGGACACTGCTCCATGGACACATGACCCCTTTAGGCAGTCACTGCTAATGGCCCTGGTTTTACAGCCAGGAGTCTGAAGCTGAGAGAGGCCCAGCTCAAAGTCACCCTGCTCATGAGCCCAGGACCATATCAAGAGTAGGCTCCCAGACTCCTAGTTTTATTGTCATCATAGAAACTATCAGCCCCTGGCCTGAGCACCTGAGCTGGAGTGAACAGTGCCTGTTCACCATTCCTAGCCCTGTACCTCTTCCATGAGGCTAGAACTTTGACTTTCCGGGCAGGCTGGATAATTGCAAATTGTCTGGTAAACAGTGGGTTGTCAATGAGAGATGTTTCTAATGGATACCCATTTTATGGATAGGCAAACTGAGATCAGAACAACTGATGATACGCCCAAAACCACTCAGCTTCCAAAAGGCTTCCACCTTTACCTTCCCTTGAGCCTCCACCCCTCTGACACATGTTCCACATTTACTGGATTCAAGTGACCTTAGCCTTAGAACCCCAAAGGAACCTTGGAATATCCACTGAATGTCACCTTGGTGTCATCTCAGACCTCAGAGCACTCTGCAGAGATTGCCAGAACCACTTAGACCACTTGGCACCAGCTACAATTCCATGCTGGCTGCCTCTCCCTGAGAAACGTACACTTGTTCAAGAATAGTTCCATGGCTCCACACGACCGCACAGACAGCCACACTGACAGCTAGTTTCACAGCTAATCCACCATGCCTAAACTGTTGGAAACACTACGTATAAACCCCAGTACATCAAGCGAGGGGCAGAAAGCAGGATGGGGTTGTGCTGTCTGTGGAGTTACATGTGGGCCACTACATGAGCCTGACTGGGAGACACTGGGAAGGGGGAGGTGTGGCAGTTCACAAGCCCTGGTCACTCATGGGCCAGCTGCTAGTGGGAGGTTGTCCTTCTGACTACAGCTGGGTGGCCACTGTCTCCTTCTTCCAGTGCCAGAGAGGCTGGCCTGGGGACAGTGACATAGAAAACGTGTTAGGTCTTTGTTCCCAGATCCTGGCACAGAGCCCCAAAGCCTAGGAACCTCCGATTGATGAGGGTGTCTTTGGTGCGCTAATGAGATGATGCCTGAGTCAGCTTCAGGACAGGGTTGGTGGCCAGAAGGCTGTGACTGCAGAACTGGACTTTCAGCTTCATCCTTGACCAGGATGGTGGGTGACGGCATTGATCACCAACAGCCAATGATTTCATTAATCATACCTACGAGGAAAGTCCCTGAAAAATGAGGTTGAAGAGCTCCCAAGTTGGCAAAAACATCTCCATGCCAGGAGGGAGGGGCACCTAAGCTTCCCAGGGGCAGAAGCGCTGAGCTGGGGATCCTTCTAGGCTTTTCCTGGGCACCTCTCCATCTACATCCTGCCTGATAAATAGTGAGCTCTGTCACACACACTAGCATGTTATCACACCTGAAGAGGGGCTTACAGGACCCCAATTTAGGACTGAGTCTGAGAGAAGCATGGGTAACCTGTAGAGCCAGGACTTGTGATGATCACCTATAGAGGGACCAGTGGGGTGCCACACGTTTGGTGTCAGAAAGGGGAAAGAGAAACCCAAAGCCCTCTGGCTGGCACGAGGCAAGGCAACTCATGAGTCCTAGTGACATGAGCTTCAATGGGACCCTTTGCTCATTCCTACCAAGACTTCTTCCTAACAGATTTGTTAAAATCTACAGCAAGAAAACAAATATATAAAAATTACACAGCAGTGCACAATTCAGAGCAAAATTAGGCCTCATAACCCCCAAGTAATATTTTTATTTTGGGGTATAATTCCTGATCCGAGGCAAATCAAGAGTCTGGTCAAGGAGTCTCCCTCCACCACCTGCCCAGCTGCTGGTACCTCCAGGGATGGCACAGCCGGCCCCGCGGGCTGGGGGTACTCGCGCAGCAGCCGCTCCTCGTCCAGGAATTTGCCATCGCGCCCGTTGCTGGCTGGCTGGAAGAGCCCGTAGTTCAGAACATCCTTCAGACCCTGATTGAGTGTGCACAGGATCCGCTGCTTCGCCACCCACACTGTGGCGTCTGGGTTAAAGCGGATGCACTTCTGCAGGGAAGGAAGAAACACCTGATCAGGGAAGCAGGAGGACACCAGAACCCACTAAGCACAGGTCAGAGTCTAAGCTGCTCCCACTCCTTCCCACTAGGTATTCTGAGCTGACCTTGGGACCCCCCAGGCTTTGACAGCTGCAAAACAAAGTCTGTTGCTTGGACAAAGACATTCAGTAAATATGAGCAGAAAGCCAAGGCTGAAATGTTAGTCTCTGCTCCCCAATCTCACCCTGGACTCAATACTACCCGCAACCTGCAGATATTTTCTGCTTGTGAATAACCACCTACAGCCTGGGGCAGGACTGCCATTGTACGGCACTTCTAATGCTTTAGCACTTACAGAAACACACTCTCCATTCCCTGCCTACTCAACAGTGCCCGAATCAGCAGCTGGGGGGCCCCATCTCACAGGACCTGTGTTATTTACAACTTTCAAGCTATGGCTGCTGGGTCCTGAGTACACACTGAGAATCACAATTCAGGTACAATCTTCCCTTGGTACCAGGACGCACTCAGATAACAAATTCTGAGGATGTTCTCATCTCCTATATAAAATGGAGCCATAAAATTTGCATATAAGCTACACATTCCTCCCATATACTTTAAATTATCTCTAGATTACTTGTAATATGTAAATGCCCTGTAAAAACTTGTTGTATTATATTGCTTAGGGGATGATGATACGGAAAGAAAAAGGTCTGTACATTTTAAGCACAGATGAATTTCTTTTTCTGAATATTTTCAATTTTAGGTTGTTTTAATCCATACATGGAAGCCACAGGTATGGAGGCAAACTATATAGTACAATGTGACCTCATTTCCCCATGGATTGCTCCCTGACACTTCAGACACCAGTGGACACTTTATCTTCCAGCCTCACCAATGGGAGGACTTGCAGTGCAAGGGTCTACATCCCTCCTGACTCTGAGCAGGAAAGCCTTAAAAATGCAGACCCTACCTTCACAAAGGGAGAAGGAAGATGACTATGAGAAATCATGTGTTGGAAATGCAAATGGGGTATGCGAGAGTAACTAATTTTTGAAAAAGCTACAGTGCTGGTCAGGCTTCTAAACCAATCAGACACATTTCAGAACACAACAGCTCACTGAGAACTGAGTGATGACAGCAGGTACCTTCCAGGAACTCACAGTGGGCCAGGAGAGGCACAAGGCAGGCTGGGCCCATGTCTATCCAAGACTGCTGAGTTTTGTTGAGTTAAAATCATGCTTTACTATACAGCCAGCAGGAGGGACAAAGGATTTTGCTTTCTCACTATAAAGCCATCTAGGAAAACACAAGGTTTGTCCAAACCCAAGGCTGGAGCAGTTCTCCACTGGGCATTGCTTGGTGGTGTCTCAGGGACAAGATGCAGAGGCAGCTGTGGGGGCAGGTTCCCATGATGGGTCAAGTTACCTGCTGTCAATCAGGACAGCAGCTCCTGCGCCAGCTTGTTTGGCTCCCAGAGAATATGGCACCCTACGAGTGAATGAGCCACCTGACCTTCCCCAGTGGCATAGGCTGAACAGCATGTAACCCCCCAAGCTCACCAGCTAAAGGCCAGTAGGGCTAGCTGCTCCTTCTAGTAGGAGACTTTTGTCACAAGTCTTGTCCCATCCTCACTGGGTGAGAACTCTTTGGGAATCCCAGCATAGCAAGGGTGTGACATCAGATACAGTCAGGTGGGGTCACCCAGAGCCCACCCACTTCTGGTTCAGGAATCATTTTTGGCCTCAGGTTCCAGTGACAAGGATACCTTGGCTCAGGTTCCTTTAGATACTAACATCTACAGAAAGCTGAGGCCCCTCCTGGCAGCTGGCAAGTGCTAGAGAAGCATGGGGGGGGGTGAGCTACCTCCCAGGGGATTCACGTGTCACTGTAGTGACACCAAGACTAGTGTCCACAGTCACTAAGTGGGCAGGGCTGGGGGTGTCAAGTGTACCCAAGAACCATCCCTGCACAGCAAAGGAGCACCCTGTTTGGAAAAGCACCAAGAGCACCTCTGTGGAGAAACCTCTGGGAGAGAAGCAGCTCAGGGGTCAGAATGGCCTGCCTCTGCATCCCAGCCCTGCACAACGACCTTGTGCTCCTGGGCAAACCTGCCAGCCCACCAGGCCCTCTGCTTCTTCAGTGAGAATCATGGCCTTGACTTACCTTTCAGGGCTGCTGCAAGGCTTAGTGTTGAGGGATGAACTGTAACCCGGGAAGCTGGTATCCTCCCAACCTTTCACCCCAAAAGTGAAATCTAGTAGAAGATGGGATCTTTACAGATGGGATCTTTAAAATGAGATTGACTAAAGCTGGGTAGGCCTAATGCAAAGACCAAGTTCTCATGCGAGTGGAAATGCGGACACAGCAGCAGTGCACAGGGAGGTGACCAAGGAAAAATGCAGGCAGAGTCAGGCGATGCTCCTATTATAAGCCAGGAAACACAAGATGGCCAGCAACTTCCAGAAGCTGGAGAGAGTCCTGGAACAGACCTTCCCTCCTAGTATCCAAAGAATAAACCTTGATCTTGGACTTCCAGCCCCTGAAGTATAAGACTAAATATGTCTCCTGGTTAAGCCACTGAGCACTTGATTATGGCATGCAGGAACTAATCAAAAGGTAAAGCACCTGCTGCTGATCACAGCGGCAGGAAGCTGCAGCAGTTTGTCCCTGAGACAGGACTGGCTGAGAGCCCAGTGCCTAGAGGTCCCTCCCTCCTTATGTGATGGGCATTGGCACCTGTGCATACTAGGAGTAGAGAAAGTCCAGAAAGAGGCCTGTTCAGGGCCACTCTGCACAGACCTTGTGTCTTAGTTACTTTTCTCATTGCTGAGACAAAATACCTAACACCCAAAGTTAAAGGGGCAAAGGCTTATTTAGCTCACAGTTTATAGAGGTTTCAGTCCATAATGGGCTGGCTCCAAAGCAGGGTGACTTCTCAGGGGAGAACAGTTCATGGCAGGTAGAAGGTAGTAAGGCAACAAGAGCAACAACAAACCTCTTTCTGCCCCTTGTATTGTATCCAGGGTACTGGGATTAGGGCAGGGCCAAGCCAATCAGTGGACTCATTTAGTAACCACTCACTCTTAATCTTAGTACCCTTAATCTTTGCACTATACCATGAATCAATCACACGCTCTAGATTCAGCCACCTCTGAAAAAGCCCAACCTATGATTGCATCAGGCTTTGGGGGGACATCTGGACACAAGCTATGACACCCTGTGTCACCTCTTATTCACCCATCCCTGACTCTGCCCACTTACCCGGCACCCTGATCAGGCAAATCCCAACTCCAAGCACAGTTCTGACACAGCTCTAGAATGAATGAATGAATGAATGAATGAATGAATGAATGAAGAGTGCCAGGAGCCAGAGAACTGATAATGAGCAAACCAGTCCTAGACTGCTACTTATAGCGGTGAAAGCCACAACTGTGTCATAGCATGGCAAATGCAAACATCAATGCTGAGACAGACTCTCCTGGCAACTAGAGGAGGGAGCAGGTGCTGCACTTGGCAGGGCATGCTCACCAGACATCTGTCCAGGGACACAAGGACCATGTGAGTTGGGGTGGGAATTCCAGCGGGGAGACCCACGTAAGGAAAGGTGGGGAGGCAAATGTAGAATAGACATGACTGACAGGTTTCCTCATCCTACTGTTCTCAACAAGATGCTCAGTGAAGGAACACTCCTGTGTCTCTTCCCATCCCCTGCAGCTCTGAGACAGCTGTTCCTTTACAATGTGTTAGAAATGTCCTCAAAGGGAGGGTGACCTGCTGGGAGGCTTGCAGAGACAGCAGAGGCCAACCAGGTGTCAGGAATCCCAGCCCCCTGCCAGTCAAGGGGTCACTTGAGGAAAACCCCTCTGTCCTCATCAAGCCTTTGCTGGTCTTCTCCATGTGGATCCTTGATTGACTCCACTAAGAATGGGCAGAGGACCAGAAGATGCCCAACATGGGATCTCACTCCATGGGGGGGCGCCTCAGGTTCTAGTGGGCAATGATAATAGAGATGAAAGTGATTCTGATGATGGTGATGGTAGTGATGACAGCGATCATGGTGATGATGGTAGTGATGACTGTGATCATGGTGATGGTAACAGTGGTGGTGATGATGATGGTGATACGATGGTGAAAAGAATGATAACAACAGCAGTGATGGTGGTGACACCATGACAGAGCCATGGTTAACAATGAACCCTAACAAATCAGAAATTGTACCAACTTATTAACCTTCAACCTAACCACAAACCATATTATTGTTGGTATAGTATTATTATTAATTCCCTTTTTCCAGATGAGGAGGCTGAGCCTCAGAGCCCTAGAAGGTAGAGGAGGTCCAATTGAAATCTAAGTCTGATCTGCCCAGATCCTCAGACATCACTAACCAATGTGTTATATTCATCTCTAGTCACACATGGTCAACCTCAGGGCAGGCAAAACACTGTGACAGTCACTGAGAAAGGAAAGTCACTGAGGAGGATATTTATGTTCAGGTTGGAGAAATACTGCCCTTGTTCATATTTCCCTTTACTAGTAAATTTGCCCTGATGTTGAGCTTTTACACTTCCAGGGGACATAGATTGATCCCCATAACAACAGACAAAGTTTGAGTGCTTAATTTTTTCTAAAGTAGTAAAGTCTAGTCTCCAAAGCATCAGTAGCATTTAAAAACAAAAATGAAATAACAGAAGACCAGGCACACTGGTGGTGGGACAAGACACCAGGCACAGTACTGCAGATGATTGCCCCATTGGTGCCTCTCCTGCAAACACAGAAGACAGTCCTACAACAGGGTGTGCCTCAGCTAAGCACTGGACCCTGAGGCACAAGGACAGAAGAAAACTCAGGAGTACAAGTAACACTTGGAACAAAGACTTTCACCTCAGCAAAAATTCACAGGATCAAAATAAACCTTGGAATAAGTTCCTAAATGCAGCGGGCAGGTGTGCCTCTAACCAGGTAGCTCCAGTCAAAGGTTCATGCTGCCCTTAAACCTCCATAGTTAGA